ACCGCTTTCAGTGCCTAGAAGATTGCAATTCAGTGGACGATATGAATGACAAGCTCGTGGAAACTGTCCATGCGGTCGGAGCTAAGTTCTGCAAGACCCGCCGCAGAAGAACACAAAAACTCTCCGATCACACTCTTAATCTCATGGCTGTTAGACGGGTGATGAGGCTGCAATCGTCAACAGATTTGACAGCATACAGGCAACTGAACAGACAGATCTCCAAATGCATGCGGCGAGACTTACGCAACTTTAATACTGCTCGTATTAAAGAAGCGATCGAGCGAAACCAGGGCTCCAAAGTCTTTGCCAGAGATCTGTCTGCCAGTAAGAGCCAACTGTCGAAGCTGAAGACTGAGTGTGGCAGCATCGTTTCCGGGACACCTGAGATTTTGAGTGAGATTGAGAGGTTCTATGGGCAGCTGTACACATCATCGTTGGAGCCACACGCAAGTGTGAGTAACGATCCAAGAGCAAGTCTTATCCGACACTATTCCAATGATATCCCGGACGTCAGTCTAAGCGAGATTAGAATGGCTCTCCAGCACCTTAAAAACGGCAGGGCCCCAGGCGAGGATGGAATTACAGCGGAACTTCTGAAAGCGGGTGGAACACCGGTACTTGAAGTCCTTCAGAAGCTCTTCAATTCCGTCCTCCATGGTGGCACTACTCCAGAGGCGTGGAGCAGAAGTGCGGTGGTCTTGTTCTTTAAGAAAGGCGACAACGCTCTCTTAAAGAACTACAGGCCGATTTCCCTTCTGAGCCGCGTCTATGTGCTGTTTTCAAGAGTCATTACGAATCGTCTCGCACGCAGACTCGACGACTTCCAGCCTGCCGAACAAGCCGGTTTCCGAAAAGGCTTCAGTACCATAGACCACATACATACCCTGCGGCAGATTGTACAGAAGACTGAAGAGTACAATCTGCCACTTTACCTATGCCGGTAGTTGTTGGGAGCACTATGCTCGAAGTTGTTGACGAGTACGTTTACCTGGGACAAATACTCCGACTAGGTAAGTCCAACGGTCAATCGACGGATTCAACTCGGCTGGGCAGCGTTCAGGAAATTACGACATATATTCTCGATCTCAATCTCTAAAAACTGGATTGTACAACCAGTGCGTGTTGCCAGTGATGACTTACGGATCTGAGACGTGGTCCTTCACTGCTGGCCGTATGAGGACGCTCAAGGTCGCTCAGCGAGCTATGGAGAGGGCTATGCTCGGAGTTTCTCTGCGTGATAGACTCAGAAATGAGGATATCCGCAGTAAAACCAGAGTGACCGACATAGCCCAACGGATTAGTAAGCTGAAGTGGCAATGGGCCGGCCATATAGCTCGAAGAACCGATAACCGATGGGGAAGAAAGGTTCTTGAGTGGCAGCCTCGTACCGGTAGGCGTAGTGTAGGGCGACCCCCACTAGATGGAGTGACGACCTGGTAAGATATGCAGGAAATCGATGGATGCAGGTGGCTCAGGACCGTGCTTTGTGGCATTACTTGGGGGAGGCCTATGTTCAGCAATGGACTTGTGAAGGGCTGTAATAATAATAATAAATAAAAAAATGCAGAAATAACAAAAAAGACATAATCTGTCGATTTCCACAAGCCGAAATACTTAAAAATCGACCATGAAGGTAGGAGCGTGCAACTGGAGTAAAACATGCATAGGTACCCCACTCCGCTCCTCCTCCTTTGATTTTTCCTTGTATCTAACTCTTTTGTGCCATCCCCTTCCATTCACAGTCACATTTTATGGTTATTGAAATAAAAGTTCATAAAAAATCATAAAAAAATATTTCTATTAGTCATATTACGAATATCCCTCAAAATAATCGTCAGATTTTAAGCTACCATAACTGTTACATCAAGCTGAACCTTCTGTATAATGATCTGATACGCTCGAGTATTTAAATATGGTGGTTTATTTTTCGCTTTTTCAAAAATTTACTACGAGCTTGCGTCACTTCCGAATCGTCAGTCTTTTCACTGGGAGCATTTTTAGGATTTAAATATCTGACGCGCTGGACTAAATTTTAAACATCTGTAGTAATTTGTAGTATTTAATTTTTAGATTACGAGGGCCACACTGAAATTATCGGGAATAAGAAAAATCACATGCACGGTATAGCTAAATTGTACTTTTTTGTTTTTCGAAGTATTCTCCGTTCAACGTAATGCACTTTTCTATTCGTGCAAACCAATAATTTAAGTTAAAACAGTAATTCCAGTCTGAAGTTGATGTTGACAAAATGGCTGATTTGTGCGCTTCCACAGCTGCTTCGGGTTCTTCAAACCGTTGACCGTATAATAAATCTTTCATTGTAGGAAATGTAAAGAAATCGTTTGGGCTCACCTCAGGACAGTACGGGGGATGGCTCATCTGCTGAACGTTTTCCTGCTTCGAAAATCATTTATCTTCTGAACCGTATGGGAGCTCGCATTATCGTGATGTAAAATGATGCGACGTTTCGGGTTATTTTTTCGGAGTTCAGCTATCATTTCTGGCAAACAAACCGTGATATACCACTCAGCGGTAACCGTTCTGCGTTCTTGAAAAGGAATTGTAGCAACATGCCTCTTTTTCGAGACAAACGTAGCGACCATTTTCTTTGACACGCTGCGGGAGCGAACCACTTTCGTTGGTTTAACCTCGACTTCGAAGACCCAAACTGCTGACTGATGTATTCTTTCAGGTTCGTATGAATAAATCCATGATTCGTCACCTGAGACGATATTAGAAACGGCATTTGAAGCGTTGCAGAGTATTCCGGCGGGAAACTAGCTTTCTTACACACAGCTCATTATGTAATATCGACTGAATTGCAGTCATTCCGATACTGATAACAGCCCGAATCTGCTCGTATGTCACACGATGGTCATCTAATATAATAGTTCGCACAGCTGCGATGTTTTCAGGCGTGGCCGCTGTTCTTGGTCGACCTGCAGAGGAAACAGTGCTGAGCGACACACGACCGCGTCGGAACTCGGCATACCAGCGGTATATTGTCATTTGACTCGGTGCATCAACATCATAAATCGAAACAAGTTCGCTGAGACATTTATCTTGAGATAAGCCTCGACGAAAATTGTGATAAATTATGGCACGGAAATGTTCAAGCGTGAGCTCCATTTCTATTAACGACGTGTCAACTTTAAACCAACATAATTTTTGTTATTATTCATTTTTTTAATTGTTTGAATGTCATTAAGATTCAAAGAGGCCAGTATTCAAATTCTAAAAAAGGTTTTATTGTAACTCATATCCGATATCCGAAATATTCTATTCCCGACCATTTCAGTGTGCCCTAGTACATACATTACACACAAAATCTGTAGAAGCTTTCCACACTACTGGAAGAGGAATCATTATCAAATTTTTCTTCTTCCTATTAACTAATCTACTAATCTAATAAGTACCCATGACTATAGAATACTATAATACACAATAGAATGGCTATCAACTTTATTTTGTATGAGGTTTGGTGTCGCCAAACCCGATTCACTGTGTTGACAGACTGAATAAGTTTACATATTTTAGACTTTTGATTAATATTCAAGATCATCATTAAAAAATCGTTTAAATTTTAGTACATATTTATTTGTAAATAGAGTGCAATTTGGCATTTTTTAAATAATTTGCATGCGAAATTTGGAAACGATTGTAATGTCAAAACACATCTCGTGTTGACATTTATAGGTGTGAATTGAAGTGTTAGTGACATTTTAGTGGCTACGCGGGCTCCACCCACTCCCCCGTTCTATTATGTATGTATTATAGTATTCTATGCCCACGAAGCTCGAGTAAATCCCCACTTAGCATCATGGGCTACACCACTATTATAATTTGTTTCATAAATACCTTCACAGTAGCTTAACATTACACTTATTTTGAGCACAGTAATTTTTTCCTAGTCAAGTCTTCTTGAAGAGTGATATTATTTATACATTATTTATTTATAGTCGTGGATTATTTTCAACTTTAATGATGTTTTCACACTACTAAGCGTAAGCACCAATGTATTATAACTATTTATTTATTATACAGGGTTATTTTTCAAAGAGTAGAATTTTAAACTTATGTTGAAGTATATAAATAATAATATGCGGATATTGCAGATTTTGAAAATACAAGTAAATAAGGCTTCTACTTTTAATTGAAATTATCCCAAATTTAGTGTGTATTATGGCCAACAACTACGCGTACACGCGCTTCTCGTGGTGCGATACAATTCACAACGTTTTTGCCTACCGATCGACCCTTACGAATGTGTGCGTGCGTAGTAAAATCAGGTAAAATAATGCATTACCACGCATTTTGAATTTAAAAGATAAAAAGGATAGAATTTTTTAAGAATTTTTCTTCTTAAAAGTTCTGTATATAGAGAAAAAATTCTGTTTGCAGACAAGAAGAATATAATATATACAATACATATATTTAGCTAAATTTTAATTTAATAGTAAATGTGTCATACAGGGCTGACAATCGATATGAACGCAATATAATATGAACGTTCAGTTTTCAGGGCTGAAGAGACGGCCAATACAAATCTTATTATGATTATGAATAAAATACCATTTATATACCTACTTAGCGACTTTTATTTGAAATATTTCATATACTATGAACATTTAATTTCCTTCAATGTTTTCATATTAATGCTGCCTGCATGTTTACAGGCAATCATCTACTTTTCTATAAAAGTTATCTAACGTAAATGCATCTTTTATCTTAGGTGTGTCATATATTTTTTATCTATTATTTTAATCCTTTATAGTTTCAATAGTCTTCTTAGATCAACTTTCGGATTCTCGTACATCTTCATTTCTTATTTTATACCATGGTTTCTTGTTAATGGAACTGTTACGGCAAGTAAAGGACAACTGTTTGAATAGAGGCTATTCTCATATTTTGATCGTTATAGGTAATTTTTCATGTATTTTAAGTCAAATAATGGTACTTCCCTGTTTGCTTTTTTATATAAATATGTATTTCTGTCATAATCACCAGTATGTTTTTTTCAATTTACCATTGTGATTCCACTCACTATTAGTTGGTACGTTTTCACCAAATAATATGTGCTGCCTTATATTTTCTCTGTGCTCGTTGGGTATGTATAAATGTTCATAGTCATTTCTATGATTAAGGTTATCTTTTATGGATTTGGAATCTGTTACCTGTATGATATTGTCTTGACTCGTTCTAGGAAAAGACGTTCTAAACGAGGAATCTATTTCTTCTACAAACTCTTTGTTTTGGGAATTTTCTTGGGTCACTTTTTGTGGATATTCAACGTCATAACTCTTTTCATTTAGTCCTATATCTCTGTCATTAGTTGTGTAACTAAAGTATTGTTCTTTAGTTTTCATTGTTGCGTCATCGTCACTAACATTAAAATTGTCTTTAGGAGTATAATCGTTGTCGTAATCATTCTTTGTTACATAATCACTTTGTCCTACGGCAGGATAAACATGAGACTTTATAACTTTATTCAATCTTTCAAATGCATCTTCGAAGTCCTTCCCGTCTGCTTCTTTTTCATATAAATTTTTCTGGACATTTTCTTGATTTCTTTGTCCGTATGTGTCATTATTTTCCTTGAATATTGGTTCTAAAATATCGTCGTGGTGTGGTGGTGTCAGAAACACCACGTCACTACTGTTATAATTTCCTGGTAGTTCAGTATTAAATACAACAGGTTCCACAACTTTATCGGGTACTGGCGTAACTAAATCATATGTAGATGTTATTCTAGTTTTAAACTCACGATTTTCGGCAAGTGTTTGCGACACTGCTTGCGGCGCTTTACTAAAATAATCAAACGTATGAAATGTTGGTAAATCAGGCAATCGGTATGTTTCTGCCGCTGGAAGCTTAATAACCATAGCTTTACCTTGATGGTATCCAATCCCATGCCCTTCAAAGGGTTTATTTTTATTCTTTTTCTTCTTGTTTGGTATTCTTTGAGGAACGTGATTTCCGATATCATTGTTATTCGAATCAGTAGCACAATACATTTTATTTAATTTTTGTGTGTCTTTATGAGAAAGACCAACTCTTTGTCCGATATACGCACCACTCTAAAACAAAATGTAATATTTCTAATTATTAATGAATTAAAGTCATGAGTGGATGAAGGGATTCTGTAGCATTTTAATGATTTTTTTCTTATAAATGAAGGTTCTATGTGCATACAGACCATAAAAGACCTTAAAACAGCGTAAATAAAGATTGATTTTAGAAATAACACGTGACAAAAAAGATATGTACAAAGAAAAAAATGCTAATCACCGTGAATGAAAGTTATATGGGCACTTAGCGTACTATACTTAATTTAAAATTATTTTAATACATGTTGTTCTAAAATGGAAGCACTATAATGTTTTGCATGCACGTGTTATGCCCTGTCCTTATCTCTTTCATTCATTTGTTCATTATATTCGATAATGTCAAGAGCTAGACAACTTCTAGAATCTGTAGTAACCTATTCTATTTCAAATGATTTAAACGACAAAATAATGTCGTTTCTGACCGCAAAATTCTACATAAAGTTAAGTATTTTACTCTGTCCGTGAAAAATTTTACCTTATATAGAGAGGTATTTAAAATTTATTAAAATAAGGTTCAGTTTTTTCTAGATCTACATTCAGGAATAGAAACAATACATTGTACATATAGTTTGCTGCTACGACGTAGGGTAAAGAAGTTGTATGTATATACACGCAGAACAAGGATATCTCCAGAGTCATGCATTCCACCAAAATCCGTTATACGTAAACGTGTAAACGGGAGACTATAACGAAAAACCAGGCACAAGAGAGAATGGTGATCTGAAGATAGGAAAATTCTGAATAGGGCACCGGAACCAAAGGGGTCAACAGCTGGCCGATATTACGAAGAAGGAGGGACTCCTCATGATGAACTCTATTTTTTATGTAATCGCCCCATAAAAAGTGGGCATGGTCAAGCCCCTACGCTTCTACAAAAAATGGGATTGTCTTCATTATGATTGTTCAGTGATGTCACGGTGATCACGAGAGTGAAAACTGGTAGCGATCACCGAATTGGCACATTGTACTTTAATGTTAAGTTGGAGAGGTAACATCCAATAAATTCAACGCTTCAAGAGGGACCCTAGTGCTCTAATCCAAAGCCCCGAAAACTTTCATACCGAATTACAAAACCTTTTTCAATGCCTCAAAGATTGTAATACATTAGATGATATAAAGGACAAACTCGTGGAAATTGTCCGTGTGGTCGGAACTAAGTTCTGCATGACCCGTCGCTGATAAACCCAAAAAATCTTCGACCACATTCTGAATCTTATGGCTGTTAGACGGAAAATGAAACTGCAGCCTTCAGCAGATATAGCAGAACTGAATAGACATATCTACAAATCCATGCGGTAAGACTTACGCAACTTTAATACAGATCGCATTGAAAAAGTGATCGAGTAAGGCCCCAAAATCTTTGCCAGAGATCGGATCAGTTGAACACCGGAAGCAGTAGTATATTCAGGGACATCTGAGGTTTTGAGTAAGATTGAGAGGTTCTACGGGCAGCTGTACACGTCATCGTGAGATCCAAACTTAAGTGTGACGATCCAAGAGTAAGTCTCAGCCGACACTATATCGCTGATATCCCGGACGTTAGTCTGAACAAGATTGATTGGCGAAGGTGGAATTACAGCGGAACTTCTGAAAGCAGATGAAAAACGGGTACTTGAAGTCCTTCAGATGCTCTTCAGAAGCTCAGCAATTTCGTCCTCCATTTCCATTCATCTTAGGTTTGTCAACAAAATATACCTTATGACAGAATTCGCTGAAGGACCTAAGCAATAAGCTCAATGACCTTAATAGTGTCTCCCAACGGATAGGTTTTAAGATGAACATAAACAAAACAAAGGTCATGTGTAAAATCAATGTCACACCAATGCCGGTAGTCGTTGGAAGCACTACGTTATCAACGAGTATGTTTATCAAGAACAAATAGACCGACTAGGTAAGTCCAAGTTCAACCGAGAGATGCGAAATCAACTTGGCTGGGCAGCGTTCGGGAGTTTACGACACATTTTCTTGTCAGGTATAACCCAAAACTTGAAAACAAGACTATACAACTAGTGCGTATTGCCAGTGATGACATAGGGATCTAAAACGTTGTCCCCTACTGCTAGCCGTATGAGGAAGCTCAAGGTCCTAAGCGAGCTGTGAAGAGGGCTGTGCTCGGAGTTTCACTACGCGATAAACTTAGAAATGAGGATATCTGCAGAAGAACTAAAGTTATCGACAGAGCTCTATAGATTAGTAAGCTTAAGTGGCAATGAGCCTACCATATAGCTCAAGGAACCGACAACCTAGTATGAAGACTTCTAAATTTTTAGAAGATAAAAATATAATATAATATACATAATACATAAATAAACACTCACGCCTGTCACCCAGAGGGGTAGGCGGAGACTACAGACTTCCATTTGGCACGATCCTGACACACCTCTCTCGCCTCCACATCCATACACCTACGCATACATGCTCGTCGGTTAAGGATACTCCTAATTTGGCCCGTTTTCAATAAATCGCCAATTTGGTCGATAAATTTTCGCCTAGGACGTCCCTTTCCGACTCTGCCATTCACTTCTGCACCATAAATTTTCTTTGTCACTCTTTCCTCATTCATTCTTTCCACATGACCAAACCACCGAAGCATTCCTTTCTTAATCCTGGTCACAACATCATCTTGCAAACCACTCTCTTCTCTTATTACACAATTTCTTACCCTGTCGTTCAGATTCAGCCCTAACATACCTACTCCTTAACGACCGCATTTCTACTGCGTTGCTTCTACTCTCGTGCTTCTTCTGCCACAGCCAACTTTCACTACCATACGTTAAAGTAGGGACCAACACAGCATTGTGAATTGCCATACGTGCTTTTTTTGACACATGTTGACACTTCACAATAGAGTGCAGGGCCCCATTTACTCTATTTCCCGCATTCACTCGTCGTTCTATATCCTTATCATATCTCCCATCCCTGCTAAATACGCAGCCCAAATATACAAACTCATCTACTTGCTCGATCAATATAATATAGATATGTAAATATAAATATGTTAGGTAATAATGGAATGCCATCCTACTAAATAAATTGCAATAAAACATTCTAACAAAATTTAAAATATTTCAAATAATTGAATAAAAATTCAGCTGTCCTAATTATACTATTGTAATTATAATAATACCATAAAAATGTCAAAATCAATTCATTAATAAATAACAACAATTATAATAACCGTATTTCGAATTCAATGTGTGTACCTATGTTTAAATAATATAATAAATGTTAATATTAAATAATTATTTAACAATAATAATAATAATAAAACGAAATAAATGTTCCTCCTTCAATATTGTTGTGCCCATCAGGTTTTATATCATAAAACTATGTAATAATGTATGGATGCAGCTACCGAAGTATGTGGTGTTAGTAAGAGAAAGAATGAAAGGAAAAATAATACGTTATGGTGGGATGATGAGATACGTATGGAAGTTGAAGCAAAGAAGAGAGCATGGCTAGATTTACTAGCAACAAAGGCTGCTAATTCTAGTGGTACGAATGGTGATATTGAAAGAAAAAAGGCAGTCTTTAGACATCTTAATAAGAGAGTAAAAGAAGTAGTTGAAAGAAAAAAGCAAGAAAGAACGGATAAGAATGATAGAAGAATATCGGATAACTTCAAGGCAAATATTAAAATGTTCTGGAAACTTGTAAGAACTGCCAGGGGACATTAAAAACAGCCTATGATGAATGTTGTAAGAGACGAGAATGGCTATATTCTGAATGATGAAGTTTTGAGTTTAAAGAGATGGAAGGAATATTTTGAAAGCGTGTTTATGAGTGAGGAGACAACGTGTGTACTAAGTGAAGTAGAAACACCGAAAGAAGAGGAAAGAGGTAGCGAGATAAGTATAGATGAAATAATGAAAGCAATGAAAAGCATGAAAGCAGGTAAGGCTGCCGGATATGATAGAGTTTCACTCTTTTTACGGGGTAGAGCCATGCTGCAATTATATTAGTAGTATAGTTGTAGCACGAATGGGTCGGCTCGACCGGGGAAGGACCACGCTCTCACAGAATACCAGCGTGAAATAGTAGCTTAATGCTGCTGTATTTCGTATGGTGAGTGTAGAGAACCGGAGACCCTTTTTACTGGAAATGAGGCATTCCATCTCAGTCCTCACGGGTGACAACGCATCTGCATTTTGATTTGTAATGGAAGATAGATGTAGATGTCTATGGGCCGCAGCAACCACTTACCATCAGGTGGACTGTGTGCTCGTTTGTCACCCTATCCTATAAAAAAAAAAAAAAAAAAAAAAAAAAAGAAATGCTAAGGGCTGGAGAGGAAGTGGTGGCAGGCCTGCTGCACACCTTGTTTAATTTATGCTGGGAACTGAAGCGGGTACCGGTAGACTGGTGCCAAAGCCGTGATAGTCCCAGTATATAAAGGAAGAGGGTCGCAGCAGGACTGTAAAAACTACCGTGGCATCAGCCTTCTTAGCATTGTGGGAAAACTGTATGCTAAGGTACTGATTGAAAGGGTCATGAAAGAAACTGATGGAAAAATTTGAGATGTGCAAGCGGGTTTTAGAAAGGGAATGGGATGTACAGATCAAGTCTTTTCCATGCGCATGATCGCGGAGAAGTTTCTGGCCAAAAACCAAAAGTTTTTTTGTGCGTTCATGGACTTGGAAAAGGCCTATGACAGAGTGGATAGGGATTTGCTATGACAAACACTGAACTCATTTGGGTTGAGCGCTGGCTTGATACAGGCATTGGAGTCTCTGTATAGGGACTCTAGTGCTTGTGTTAGGATCAACGGGGTCTACTCGGACTGGTTTGTCATCCATAAAGGTGTCAGACAGGGCTGTGTGGTCCCCGTGGCTGTTCAACCTATTTATAGACAGTTGTTTGCAAAATTTGAAAGTTGAAGAATGCGGATTAAGAAAGGGTGAGTTAACCGTCAAATGCCTTTTGTACGCCGATGATCAAGTTGTTCTTGCGTCGTCGGCGGCCGAGTTGCAAATGATGGTTACATTAATGAACGGATCATTAAAAGAAAGGGGTATGAAAGTGAACGCAAGTAAGACGAAGGTTATGGTTTTTGAAAGAGAAGAAAGTAAAACGATTTGTGAAATAAGAATAGGAGGGGAGTTGATCGAGCAAGTAGATGAGTTTGTATGTTTGGGCTGCGTATTTAGCAGGGATGGGAGATATGATAAGGATATAGAACGAAGAGTGAATGCGGGAAATAGAGTAAATGGGGCCTTGCACTCTATTGTGAAGAGTCAAAGTGTGTCGAAAAAGGCACGTATGGCAATTCACAATGCTGTGTTGGCTTGTGAAAGTTGGGTGTGGCAGAAGAAGCACGAGAGTAGAATAAACGCAGTAGAAATACGGTCGTTAAGGAGTATGTTAGGGCTGAATCTGAATGGCAGGGTAAGAAATTGTGTAATAAGAGAAGAGAGTGGTTTGCAAGATGATGTTGTGACCAGGATTAAGAAAGGAATGCTTCGGTGGTTTGGTCATGTGGAAACAAAGAATGAGGAAAGAGTGACAAAGAAAATTTATGGTGCAGAAGTGAATGGCAGAGTCGGAAAGGGACGTCCTAGGTGAAAATTTATCGATCAAATTGGCGATTTATTGAAAACGGGCCAAATTAGGAGTACCCTTAACCGACGAGCATGTATGCGTAGGTGTATGGATGTGAAGGAGGCAAGAGAGGTGTGTCAGGATCGTGCCAAATGGAAGTCTGTAGTCTCTGCCTACCCCTCTGGGTGACAGGCGTGAGTGTTTATGTTATATGTTTAAAACTATGTAACATCCTTTGTAATCTATGGAATGCAAAAAAGTTATTGAGTATTGAGTAAGAAAGGTTTTCGAGTGGTAACCTCGGAGTGACAACCTGGTAAGATGTGCAGGAAGTCGATGGTTACAGGTGGCTCAGGGCCGTGTTTTGTGGCATTTCTTGGGCAGAGGTCTTGTGAAGGGCTGTAATGATGATGATGATGATGATGAGAGGAAATTTACAAAGCTGGATATTAAAAAAGAGGTCAAGCAGAAAACGTGTTTGTAGAAAATATGGAACAATTTCGGAAAAAAAGGAAACAAATATTAGAAGAACTATTAAAATTTTTGAAACCAGAATATCAATACTATTATCAAAATATTGTCGACCGAGATTAATCTACTTAAAACGTTAAGATATATTTTTTATTTAATGCTAGATATCACATTCATACATATATTACTTTAGATTTGTAATTTAGACGATGAATGGAAGAGTTAAGTACATGTTTTTCATATAGATTTTTTTCTCCATATCAGTATAAAGGTTTAATTGCATAATTAGTTATAAAAAATACTTTATACATGTTTGGTTATTATAAAAAAGCAATCTAAAAAGCGTTATATTATCTAAAACTAAAGTAACCAAACTTCGTGGCCCATTTTCACAATGTTTACAAATGGCAACATATCCCCCTCATTCACTCATGACCTCAATTAACAAATTAGTGGCATGGCATGGCAAATATCCCCCATATTTGCCACGCTCAACAGGCGGGTGGGCAATTGTAGTTTTTTATTTTTAGTTATTGTTATAAAGTCGCTGCTGCTCGCCTCTGGTTTAGTAAATTTTCTCCTTCTGCGCCTCCACGACACCTACGGGAGGATATGAGGTTGTGGATATTCTTACACCGCCACTACACGACTAGCTACTTGTTGATGAATTTATTATATAACATAGAATAATAATTAATAATTAATTAATAAATATTAATAATTATAATGATTTCTTATATTTACGCGAACATTGCACATGATTAAAACTACTTTTACGGATTTTATCGCGTTTATTTTTACTTCTTATTTACTTTTATTTTTAATTCCCGACGTTTCGGGCGCTTTCCAGCACCCATGGTCACGGGGGACTGAGATGACTGACGTCCCGATGTCATTGTTAAACCCGGAGTACCTTCAGCTTTTTTAATTATTGTTTATGGTCCGATCTATTACATCAGATTTGATAGACCACAAATCCTCGCGAAAGAACACCGATTCCTACCAAGGATAATACATGAGGCTATTGAAATTAAAAAACATCCTAATTTCAATAGAGAAGGAGGCTGGGTACTACCACCTGCTTGGGATCCTATAATCAATAAAATTAAAACTAAACCCAAGCATACCACTGCAAGACCTCAAGACATAGTCAGTTCATTTTGCATAGATCGGACCATAAACAATAATTAAAAAAGCTGAAGGTACTCCGGGTTTAACAATGACATCGGGACGTCAGTCATCTCAGTCCCCCCGTGACCATGGGTGCTGGAAAGCGCCCGAAACGTCGGGAATTAAAAATAAAAAGTTAAAAATAAAAAGTAAAAATAAACGCGATAAAATCCGTAAAAGTAGTTTTAATCATAATAATAATTAGTTAATAATAATAATTAATTATTATTCTATGTTATACGTAAATACAAACTCGAGATAAGTTTTCTTACCTGCTTTGGTACTAGAGTGTCCTGCCCATTTGCAGAAAACGCTTTTTTACTATAATGCAATACGCTATCATAGTCATATCCAACACCGAAATCAGAAACGGCGAATGTGTTGTATTTTCGGAAGTTATGCCTTGCCGCTGAAAATGAATTAAATATGAAATTTTATAGCGTATACATGTGTAGAATTTCAAACCAAAGCACAATTTCGCTCGCATTGTTATTAGATTTGTTAAAAAGTATTATTAACTATTATTACTAACTTTAATTATTGTTATTACTTAAAGACTTCCTTGAAATGAACGACATTAAAATAAATCCAAATCTTGCCGTTTTTATTTGACCGACTTACATAGATACCGACTATTTTGTTACTATTAGAAAAGTCTTATTTACTATGTGATTTTTTTACTGTTGTTTATAGGATTCTATTTGTTCAATTGTTAATTTATATAATAATATATTTACCGTTAATGAAGAAGTGATAGCGCTTTTTTAGAATATTATTACTTAAACCTTGTTTTGTTTAACATAATTCTTTTGATGGCAAGTAGCGATAGTAGAAAAGAGATTTTATAACTTACGTTGAATTATATTTTCCCATTTTACATCGATATAATCATCCCTGTCCGGACTACTCTGCATGTGGTAGAAACCAAGGGTATGCAGAAACTCATGGACCACAGTGCCGTGCCTAAAACAACCTCTGCCAACAGGATGTCGTCCATACAAATTCAATACTTGATAACCGCCTTGGTAACCAACTTGCGAGAAACAACCACGTCTACTACCCTGAAATAAACTTTAAGGTTTAGATGTAAAACCGAACAGTGTGATGTAATAACTTTATCTGTAATAATTTGAAAACTTAATGTTAAAACTTAGTGCCGCGTACGTACTATAACTGAGCAAAAGTTGCTATGCTTTCTGAGAGGATTATGGAGGAATTAGCCTGCCGTACTACTCCAGTCCATGTTAGCGGACTTTGTATGTCCTCACATCACGATGAAAAGGAAGTTTAAAAAAATGTTTTTGACCACGGATTTAGAAACTTATTTCACATGTCTGTGTTTAGATCGTTTATCAAATCTGTAATGGCGGGGGTCGTTACTGATTTAATAAACCACGAATCCCCGTAACAGGGCACTGAGTTTTACAAAGGATGATTAGCGAGGTTAGTGCAATTAATAAGCTCTAAGGCTAAAACAGTTACTGAAATAACCCAACAGTTTAAAAAAAGTTTACTGAAAACAGGAAAATCAAAATATTATATCCTATGTCACTTTCACGACTAAATCAAACGAAACCCCATATGCAAAATTCCATAAAACCGTTTAGGCTTCAGAGAAACAGACACACATACATTCAAAAAACATTAACTTCCTTCTCGAGCAGTCTGCTAAAAAAATATCAAAATTTTAATGCAGATGATAGTGGGGTGCTACCGTCTGTGTTTGAGTATCTTTATTAAGGTATAAAAATATGAATTAGTCATGGAATAAAAATGAACAAAATTAAATTATTATTTAAAATAACTTTTTAGCTTTACTCAAAACTGGTTTAAATAACGACAAAGGAATCAGACCTGTCAATTGTTACGTTGATGTTTAACATCACTATTTAGTAGGGTAAAGAGTGCCTAGATGCCTAGCACGTCCGTACTTTGGTATTGCGCACGCGTGCGAGAAACTCGATTTTATTAGGATACCTACAGATACCATATTGCAACACTAGAATATGATTATGAACTCACACGTGAGGTGTGAGTGACATTTACGTCCTAATATTTAATTTGAAAGTGTAAATATGACATGAATTTTTAAAATTTTCAAGAATTATTCTGTTTAAACCCACTATTGTCATTTTTGCTTAAATACATTCAATACACGCAATGTTGATTAGGTAAAAGATTTCCCTTAACCAAAATATGTAATGTAAGCATTTTATTTTCTTTAGCACATACCTGTATAACAACAGCATCTCTGTCTCCTTTCTTATATGGTCGGAATTTGATACAGGAAGCTCGTGTTATATCGTCTATTCCATTTTCTATAGCTTGCAATTGGTCTTCGGCTGGAAATCAACCATAAGCCGGCGTTTATTTTTAAAAGCAACTTTGAATTGATAAAAACTGAAAATAATTAAAAACTTTCTAATTATTATTATTAACCGGAGACCCTTTTACTGGAAGCGAGGCATTCCATCTTAGTCCTCACGGGTGACAACGCATCTGCATTTTTATTTGTAATCGAGGATAGATGTAGATGTATATCAATGGTACGCAGCAACCACTTACCATCAGGTGAAATGTGTCACCCTATCCTATAAAAAAATATTTGTCGGCTCCATGGCGCAGTGGCTTAGCAATGAGTAGCAGCGCTGAGAGCTGCTGGTTCGAATCCCGCACGGAACAAGTATTTGTATGAACTACAAATAATCGTTCCGAGTCTGGATGTTTGTCCTTGTATAATTTATGATTGTTAACTGCCCTACATTAATTTAAAACATAAATACATAGAAAGAAGATAAAAAGAAAAAGAAGGATCAAAAACTACGTTTGCAAATCCGTTTGCCATGCGTGGTAACTATAAAATATATCTCGCCTATGAGGCAGTCTATGGCGAGCGCCATGTTCAGCCGTGGGCTTTCGAAATTCTGTAATGAAAGTATAAATTAATGAATATCCAAATACTGTTTATAATTAAAAAATGTAATGGTACATACTGATGATAACTACCGCTGCCGTGAAAAAAACGAGTGTGCTTATGACCACACGTCTGAAGTAAAACTTCTTTAGCTACTTCTGTATATATATATATATATATATATATATATATATATATATATATATATATATATATATATATATATATATATATATATATATATATATATATATATATTCTATATCCTACCATAATTTGTTATTATTATTTAATGTATTGAACAAAATATTATTTCATAAAATTATTCAAAACGAAATAAAATTACGAAAAATAACTGGCTATGAGAGAAAGAGAGAAAGATGTTTGTGCGCGCGCACTACTCTCTCTTGCTTATATCCCCCACTCAACTCCCGTTCGCCTTGCCCGATCACACTTTTCGTAACGCTTTGGTCACGCGTTCCCCAGCTTACTCGCCAAGTCAAGCGTGCGTAAAGAAGCTTTACTTCAAAAAGTACTCTTAATATTTTTGTGTTACCCACAGAAATGTTCCCGCTGAATGTAATAGATAACTTCATTGTCTGGCCATCTCTTAGTAATGTCTCTAAGACCGTTCCTGGCTAATCCTTCGGCCACATCTTCAACGATCAATCGCCTTTGTCTGTCATTAAGAATCAGATCACCTTCAAATTTTCCACTCTCCTCCCATGCATTCTCTGACACCGTTTCGTCTTCGTCCACATCAAGATCAGGATTACCTTAAATTTAAATTTTTAGTTTTAGATTTTCTATATTATAGTTTCTTCTCTAAGAATCGTATATATAAAAATATCACACTCGTATTAAGCATTATCATGTCACGCCTGTTTCTCAAAGAGACAGGTAGATATCATAAATTTCGACAGTGTACAATTTTGACATAGCTCTTTAATTTCGACTGCATTTTTATCGTAATTTTTACATGAAAATAGCCGCATTGCAGTCGTCATCTCTTATAGTCATAATCATAGAATACTATAATACACAATGGCTGTCAACCTTATTTTGTACGAGGATAGGCGTCGCCGGAAGCACACATACAAGAAATTACGTCATATTATCACTACTACAAACCCGATTCGCTATGTTGACAGACAGATTTTAATACATATTTATTTGTAAATAGCGTGCAATTTGGCATTTTCTAAATAATTTTCATGCGAAATATGGAAACGATTGTAACGTCAAAACACATCTCGTAATGACATTTATACGTGTGAATTGACGTGTTAGTGACATTTTAGTGGCTACACGGGCTTCGCTCACTCCCCCGTTTTATTATGTATATAATTGTAGTATTCTATGGTCATAATAATTATGACATGTAATTAGGCAGCTGTAATATTAGTGATGTCCTTCAACCCGAATTTGGTCACAGTGGCCAGTCTCAATAAAGACTAACCATCTGCGCTGGACAAGATTATAGTTAGGGGTTATAGACGGACAGAATCATAGAGAGAGAGAGACAGATTTTATATGTAGTAGTGCCTAGCTGCAGCTATATTAGTAGTATAGTTATAGCACGAATGGGTCGGCTCGACCGGGGAAGGACCACGCTCTTACATTGAAATTATTTCAATGTAAGAGCGTGGTCCTTAACGGTTCTCCGGTTCTCTACACTCACAATACGAAACACAGCAGGTTTCGTATTGTGAGTGTAGAGAACCGGATACCCACCCACCAGAATTTTGATTCGTAATCCTCGAGGACTGTGTGCTCATTTGTCTCCTTATCTTTAAAAAAAAAATAGTGCAAGAGTGAGTGTACACTAGTGCATTCTCTATTCCATAACTCTGATAGTTTAATGGGACAGCAAATCAACACGACCGAATAGAGATCGGATGCAGGATTGAAGTCTTTCCGGGGCACCGGGATGAAAACTCGCCAACTTCATGAAGACAGGCTGCTACCAAGAATTTTTTGACAGAAAAATCAACCTGAGGTTCGAACCTGGAACCTCACGATCAGCAGCCGCGCTTAACATCACTAGACCAACGAGGTATACGAGTACAGCTGTATATATTATTGATGCTGAAGAAGTAGAAGTTTCCTTCCTATAATTTGTGAGGATTTTAATTGAAAACATAAAAAAGAATGTAGTTATAAAATTTGCAAAGTTTTTTTTACGTCCATTTGTCTAACCAAACCGGTTTGGCTTGAAACTATTAAAACCTGTTAATAAGTATGTTCTTATGATCTAAATAGTTAGCCATCGCAGTTTCTATTAATCCTAAGGATGCCTCGTTAAGATGCAAAACGTGCTGTGCAATCTTTTCTGGTGTTGTGGTGTTGGGGGCAGTATTTTAGGTTTAGTGATGGTAGCGATGGAGCACGCTATTATGGAAGGGGGAGATGCTCTTCTCTAACACGCTAAACCTTTTTTCAAATAAGAAATGATAACCCAAAAGTAATGCGTTATCAGATCAAAATTGGAACTAGTTAAACCATAACAATAACCCCATAAATCGATCAACAGCGTAACAAATGCAAATCCTTACTTTTTAAATTGAGATCCAACTGCGACGTTTTCTCTATAAAATCACTGAACTCTTCCAATTCACTGCGAGTCATTGCCCGACACTCCAACACAATAATATTTATTAACACCACTAATTTTGTCCACTTCATGCTTGATTAAATTATATTATTAAATGTTCTAATCTACAAAAGATAAAGGACACCTTAACTCGAATAAAAAGTCATTGCGAAACCGTTATAATTGCCAACTGGTTTATTCTAATATGAAAAATAGATTTAGGAGCGTACTCGCACGGTATTCATTTGTTTTTCCATTTAACCCAATTCATCGAGACGGGATGGATTTAAAGCTTCAGATACGACCATTTCACAAGGTATTGAGCCGCAACTGTCATATCTTGCGTCAGCCACCGAAGTCACCCGCTTGCTCGCCGTCAACGACGATTTTACCGCAATAAACATGCGCAAGAGTAAATTGCTAAATTTGCCGCCCGAGTTGCCTTACAATTCATTAAAACTTCGATTTCTTTTACATCACAATACCATCGCATTAGTGCTATACGAAACAGTATAAGTATTAAGGTCATTTACGAGGGCGCTGCTTGCTTCTAAATAAATTGCTATTGTGTGTAAATAAGATAAATTGCAGAAATTACGAAATGTGCCAGTCACATTTCTTCATATATGAAATGTTCTGACTGTGAATTTTTTGTGCGAGCAGCTATGCAGGTCTAGGAAGACCAGTAACACTGTGACCTATAAAATCTATTGTGATCGCTGTTATGGCTATAGTTCACTGCTAAGCCCCTAAGAAGGAGTTGTTTCCTTGAGTTGCTTAGTCTGGGACATGGATATGTGCTTTTTTAGACGGTAGTGTCCAGTCGGGGCTCTTGTCAGAATACGCAGTTTATTCTTACCTAATCACAGGGCTTTTGAAGCGAATTTACGATCAAAAGTTTTAGAATGTTTACAGTCTGGTGTATTAGATCAGATGTTAAGTTATTTATTGTGATAAAGAGTTTCAAGGGTCAATCGAGTTAGGCTTATTGAGATTCCACAAAATGGCTTGTGGCAAACTTGTGTACTCTTTATACCCCCATGACACGGAACCCATATATATATATATATATATATATATATATATATATATATATATATATATATATATATATATATATATATATATATATATATATTGATGTAGTGTTTTTGCAGATTGATTTCGAAATATGGCGAAAAGGGGGATGCCCACTGTTCATAGACACTTCGGCCATGGGTGCCCACATATAAAAGCATATGGAAATGATAATATGCAATTAAAATAATGAAATGGTTAAGGAATTGGTTTAAAAAAAGTCGGGATTTTTATGATATAAAGCTTTTTATTTTCACAAATACAGCTTTTTAACGACTACTTTTACCAATTTTATTGCTTTTAATTTCTTTAAATTTTAATTCCCGACGCGTGATTTTTCTTTTGGAGGCCTATGCCAAAAGGCACACCGAACAGAGGGACTTACTTTAACTAGTATTACAATAGGAACTCAAACACAAATATTATGTAACCCCAAAGTTCGGAAATAAATGGCTATATTATTATTATACTATTATTATTTATTCCTGACGTTTAAGGTGCTTTATAGCACCCATGGTCACGGGGTACTGAGGTGACTGCCATCCCTATGTCAGTTTTGGGACATGGAGTACCTTCAGCTTTTTATTATTATTTTTATAGTCCAATCTACGCAGATTGAACTTACTCTATCTTTAAGTCTTGCAGTGGTATGCTTGGGGTTTGTTTTAATTTTATTAATTATAGTGTCCCAAGCAGGTGGCAGTACCCAACCGCCTTCTCTACTGAAATTAGGATGTTTTTTAATTTCAGTAGCCTCACATATCATCCTTGGTAGGAATTAATGTTCTTTAACGAGGATTTGTGGTCTATCAAATCTGATGTATGTCTATCTGGTTGGGGTGACACCCTTGACATACGGTAGTACAGCAGGCACACGCTCAACTGCGGTCGGCTTCACTCGGTCACTGTGACGAAGACGTGGGACCCGAAGCTTGATTTTGTGCAGAACCTGCTTGACGTGCTGAAGCTCCGCGGCCAGGTGCTTGTTCTCACAGATCCCATATGCTCTCTGTAACAAAGATTTGCTCATGGTAACTAACTGTGAAGGATTATGGTGAGATTCACCGCTTAAATATCAGTTTGTATGGGTCTTTTTTCTATACACAGTGTGACCTATGATGTTGTTAGGATTTTGGATAACAAAAAAATCTAGGAAAGCTAAGAAATTATTTGCCTCAGATATAATATCATAATTACTGAATAGAATTTGGCACAGAGAGTGGTAACGATGGATAAAATTCATAGAAACAACATCCTGATTTAATATTTCTTGGGCCATATTCATGAGCCGCTCTAATTTGTTTCTTGGTACTTGCAATAATGCCTATATGCATTCATCACTATCTCCTGTTCTTACTTTTATCAAATATACAGCAAGTGCAAAGCATCCACTATGTTTACTTGACATTTTGGGCACTTCAGACAGAATTTATTGGCATTGTGCCTTTGATAAGCGTAGATAATAATGTACAGTATATTCGGGCATATTGTAAATATTTTCAAAGTCTATATGATGGTAAATATTATCTTACAATAATGTAGAAAAATCTATAATTTGTGCTACACTAAATGTTTTAATATGGTTATATATTAATTCTAAAAGTAAATACCAAGAGTTACTATTTAAATGGTAGTTACTGATTCTACATTCTGGAGGTACATAGTAATTGTATTCACAAAAATACATACCCGCAATGCTGATGGAACAGTGAGTTGATTGGAATTGTTACAACCAGGAAAAAACATTGATTTTGTGTGAGTGGTGCTCTTACAAAATTAGGCAGCAGTATATTGTATGATGTATGATCTAAGCTTTGTTGTTCTAGGTTCAATACATTACTCACTTTAGATTGCTACAAGGATGGACTAGATGATTCAGATGGTTCCCGTTCTAAAGTTTAACGTGTTGCTGCTTTATCAATCCTTCGCAATCATGACACTCACGCGATGACGATAGCAACTGAAATAATATTAAATTAAAAAAAATAAGACAAAGTGAACAAAATAAAATAGATTTGTTTACTTTAAACTCAAATATAGGTAAATGTTACTTAAAACTTAATGCCCTATATTATTTAATAATTAAGGACTGACTGCCTACCAGTAGTCCAAAAACAATTAAAAATCGACTGTCTTATTTCTTGGTATTTGATAAAAATTGTCCATTTCGTAACTATCTGGTGTTAGCTAGCTAATCTTATCGCCGTGTTACAAATAAGCTATTTTGTTTGTCAGGTATAGCTTGTGCATATGTTAAAAAATAAAACAACTTCATCATTTCATACATTCATCACTATCAAATATCAGCACTAGAATTAATAAATTAAAAACTGTTGAACACTTACTTTTAACTGTTGTCACACTATAATGTGATCGACAATCTCACTCCATATGAGTTCTTGAGAATTTATTTGAAAAATAACAAACAAAATAACACAATGGCAACTATTTAGTTGTGAATTCACTAGTACCTTTTTACTTGTTGAATTGTGATTTCATTTCGCATGACATATTTCCTATAGCTGTCAGATTTGATGTTGCCACATAACTAACATAAATACAACGAAACGATATCGATTTGTATTCGATTAGTAATTTAATGAAAAAATAATAATATTTGAGTTTCGCTTTCAGTTCTACACGCTTTTTAAAATATATTTTCTTTTATTTTTTTAAATTATGTTTTAAATGTATTTTTAAGAACAGTTAAAATGTGGAGTAGCGTATTGTTATGCTCTAAACAGTTCATGGTAAATCAGCTAAAAATTCACTTGTTTAATTATCATAACATGATTCCATTTTAAATGTATTGTTAAAACAGATAACAATAACAGTTAAATTGTGCAGTAGCATTTTATTGTACTCTAAAGAATTCATAGTAAATCAGCTAGTAATTCGCTTGTTTAATTATCATAACATCATAATATCCATAGCGATTCGATTATTATTCGATTAATAATTTCATAAAAAGAGAATAATCTTGGAGGTGTTTTAACTTCTGCTCGCTTTTTAAAATGTATCTTCCTTTTTTATTTAAATTCTATTTTAAGTGTATTTTTAAGAACAGTTAATTGTGCAGTAGTGTTTTATGAAGCTCTAAAAAATTCATGGTATATCAGCTAGAAATTCACTTGTTTAATTATCGTAACATGATTTCATTTTAAATGTATTGTTAAGAAAAGATAAGAATAACAGTTATATTGTGCAGTAGCGTTATGTTATACTGCATAGAATTCATTGTAAATCAGCTATTAAATCGCTTATTTAATTATCATAACTACAGATGTGAAGGCGGTTGTTAACGTTTTCAACCAAGCCGATAACAACGGTTGTTTTTGTCTTGAAATTGATAAAAATTGTGCAGTTGCGTTTTGTTAAGCTTTAACCTTTTGAGCGCCACGCCAAAAACGCATTACCGTGTCCTGTACGCTAAAGCGCCAAAACAAAATAGTGTTGCCAAGAGTTGATATATCGATAACGTGAAATAACTTGTTTTTGTTGGTTTTTTATGCTATAAATGACTCTTAATAAACTGTATGTTTTATTTAATCTTGTGCCGTCTTCCACTCTTTTTATATACATATGTACTTTGTACATATAAACATAAATAAAAAACAAACAATAACAATAAAATAGTAGTAAACCACAGCACTACTCTCCATCCTAATGACAACACCGATGACGACGACGCGACTGGACGACAACGGCGTAGCTGACCTTCCCTTTTGAAAAATGTTGTGTATCGATTTCAAAATCGATCTAACCGAAATATACAGACATCGATTCATAATATTTTATGTGTCGGGGAAGGCGTAGGCCAAGTGACGCACAGAAGAAAAGTCTTACACTCTTATGACAATGGGGATTTGATATGATGCTGATGCTGCTAGATGATTTTGAGACTGAGAAAGAAAATGGCACAACACAAAATGAAAAATTGCTCTTCACACCCTAAGTA